GTCTACTGACACAAGTCTACTGACACAGGTCTACTGACTCACTAATGATATTTTGATGTTGTAATGATTTTGCTTTGATGTTTTGAGGATTTTGCTTTGATGATTGTTTATATTTCTACCTTTGTCTCAGGGAGTTTGCTAAAACGATCAAGAGGCCGTTCTGTGTGTACTACAACCCGTACACTCAGAGCATGGACCTGCTGAAGGACACACGCAGTATCGAGAACGTGGTGCAGGATTTACGCAGCGACCTCACGACCGTCTGTGACGCTCTGGGCAAGATGAATACGTACATGGGAATCTGAGCTCTGATTGGTCCACAGCACTCATGTAGATACTTCTGTCAGTACACACATGTAGTACAGAGTACACAGTGCATTACACTCACACACTCACCTGTATTACAGAATACATACATAATCCAGTACATAATCCTGTGATCAAACATGAGTCACGATTCATACAACACGTATGACGCTGACGTGACAAACACACACTCACTGTTCTGTTGTGTTTTTCTGGTTACAGTGTAGGAACACTAGCATGTGTGTTTACATGTGTGTATAATCTATGATGCATTAAAGACGACATGTATGTTGTGTGAAGCATGTTCCTTGTCTGTGTTTTTCTTCTCTGCTGAAGCTTTTTCCTGCTTGAAAACATCCAAGTCCAAACTGTTCATACGTGATCGTTCATCTTCATACAAGTTCATACAGATTTCTACAACTTTCTACATGTTCATATGTATTTTTACATGTTTCCACATGTTTTATTGTTTCCTGTCAAAGAGCCAAATGTTTCTCTCTGGAGGGGGGGAGCAAACACTAAGATTTAAGGTAGTGAGAAAAATGTCCTTAGGTCCAAAACATACATTTCCCTTCCTAGAGAAAGTGCAGAGGGCCTCCTGAACAACCTAAAATCGACTGAAGATTATTTATAATTAAACTGTGACAACACATCAGTGTTAAATTACAATTTAGAGCAACATGTGACCTCATCTCGTAAAGAAAAACACGTTAACATTTTCACCTGAAGGTCTTACTGACATGTTAGCTGTGATGTCACTGTGATGTCACAGGTCCTGCAGCATGTTTCAGACGAGCTCCCGCATCAAGGCGTCCGTCAGCTGCCCCTCCGACACGGATCGAACGTCTTGCCTGAATCCTGCTTCTGCAGCCGTCAGCACGTCACGCTGAGTCGAGACCTTCAGCTTGGTTTTCATTTGCAGGCTAGTGATGATGTCACAGATCAGCTATCACATGTAATTAAATAAATACATATTTTAAGTCTCTGATGATGTCATTTGATACGTTTTATAATTTTTTTTTTCTTGATAAAAACATTGACTCAAACTTCCTCTTAATTTTCTTTATTTCATTTTTTTTGCAAAGGTACAAATGACTGTAAAATTGCATTTCCTGAAATGCGTCAGGATCGAGTACAGAATGTAGGAAATATAAATACTCACAAAAATTCTCCTTCCAGGAGTGTGTTGCCGTGACGACAGTGACTTACAGAACACACAGCTTCAGTTTCAACAATTCACGACACAAACCAAAGAAACCAAAAGACATTTAAAGCGTTAAAAACCTTCCATGGACACGCCCCCTTCAAAACTTTATTAACAAACTGCATCGTCAGCTACAAATTCATCAACAGTTCGGGGTTGACGTGTCGCGTTCCTGCCGAGTGTCCACGTCGTTTGAACGTCACATTGTGTCCACGCTGACGTCAGATGGAGACTTATCAACACACCACCTGGAGCTCTGATTGGTTCACTACATGTCACATGATTCATTCAACGCCTCACTGAACTGTGGGTCTGTTTCTATGGTTACACTGATGAACCATGTCACCACGTGGTTAAAACAGAGATGAGATAAAAAAATGTATCACACGTGAGGAAGAGGAGGAGGAAGAACGTTGGAAGTGAAGTCTGTTGCTCTTCATCTTCCTGAACGCAGCCTGAGTCTGTTTCCTGTTCGGACAAGAACACACTTCCTGTGACCAACACTGTCAATCAATCGACTTAAACGAACAGTTCAACATTTACGTCAACTTCCTGTTTCTTCAAGACATGTTCACGTTCATGTCCTAACATGAAGCTCGGGGAGGAAATAGCTAGCTTATCATTAAGTCTGGAAACAAGAGTAAACAGCTAGCTTATCTTAGCACAGTGTCGAACTGTGAGCAAACAGCTAGCTAACATAAAGACAAGAGACAGCTAGCTAGTTTAGGATTAAGTCTGGAAACAAAAGTAAACAGCTAGCTTATCTTAGCACAGTATGGAACTGTGAGCAAACAGCAAGCTAACTGTGACAAGAGACAGCAAGCTTAGCTTAGCATAAAGACTGGAGACAGGAAACAGTTTAAGAAACATTTGTTCTGCAGAGATGTGAAGACAAAATAATGTTGAACTGTCCCTTTAACGTCGAGTATCCACACAAACATTAAAACAACTGTTGGTGCGACGGCGCGTCACCAGTTTACCAGTGAACATGTGACCGACCATCATCTGAAAAGGTTAAAAACAAAATGATCGAGCAGCGCGGCGTTCAGAATGACCACAGAGGATCTGAAACGTTGGTCCATGTGTTAAGTGATGGAATTATGACATCACTGTGACATCACATCGGGACCTAGTCACATGTTCAGCTCCAGGTGTTTTCCTCCTCTGTGTTTCCAGGTGTGAAGAGGCTGCGTTCACTGAACCAGTTTGTACCAATCAGAGGGAAGAACCATCTGAGACCCCCCCCCCCCAGGATGCGTCAGCTGCCACTAACAGACCAGGTGCACTGTGGGTAATGTAGGGAGCAGGAAGAAGATGTGGAGACGAGGAATAAAAAAAGTTTAAAAAAACTGGTCTAAAGACCTGATCACACCAGAACTGATCACGTCAGGTTCGTCCTTGCAAACTTTGACCTCTGCATATTCAGCGTTGACCAATAACAAGTCGTCCTGACAGAGTCTGCGAGGCCTCATCCAATCAGAGCTGCACCTCTTCATTCATTCATGTTTTCAGTTTGATACCAGACATTTCTGATGTTTCACATATCGATCGATCGAGCTGCAGCATTTCATTCAGCTGCTGTGTTCAGGTCACATCCGTTAAAACCGTCGTCAGCCTCCGTTTGTTGATCTGCGGCGTAAACACAGTGAGGCATGGTGACGATTCACTGCATCCTCTGACCTCAGAACAGGAGTTAATAGGACTTAATGAAGGCACGCGGATTAGTTCAGATGTTCTGGTTTGACGCGGTCATTACTTCGGTGAAATATTGAACCAACACAGAACTGAAATGTGAAACTAACACCTGCCATTAAAAAAGAGACATGACCAGGAAGTAGGGTACAGATGTACTGCAGCGCCGAAAGATGAGAGAGAAACACCTCAGAGGACGCAAGGACACCGTGAGGAGCTGACGTGTTATCAGTCTGTGATCCGTTGTTGAGTCATTTCAGCAGCGCCTTGTAGAGCATCAGCGAGCGAGCCGTGCTGCGGTCCTGCTCTAGACAAAAAATGAAGTCCCTGAGGTTAACTCGCGTGATTCGCTGACGGAGCTGCTGGCGGGAGGAGGCGGCCGCAGAGGAGCCGACACCCGAGCCTGAGGCCACCTGAGAGGAGAGACGGGAGCGTTAGAGAAGGTCGACCTCCAGAGACCAGATGCAGCCAATAAACACTCAGCAACAAGTCACCTGATGACTGAGACTCCGCCTACAGTAACAACATGACCATTCACATACTCTCAGACTGACACATATCTCACTTCCTGCTTCCTGTTCTAAATGTTAACAGACTGTGGGCGGAGCAGAGGGTTGTCCACTAACCAGGTGGTCAGTAGTTCCTCAGATCAGCTCGACTGAGTGACCCAGGTTGTAAAACGCTGAGTCATTAACATGAATAAATGCAGATTCATTGTAATCATTATTATGAACTGTGTCTGATCCATCCTGACATCTTACCTCTGTGCCCGCTGACGCTCCTCCTGGCGAGTCCAGCTTGCGTTTCTTGCGTGGTCCGATGGCGGCGAGGGCCGTGAGGTTGGCGTCTCGTTGTCGCATCTGAGCTAACTCCTGCTGCTGCATCTGTAGAGGAGGCGAATTTTAATGTTCATAGAAATTCACAGAGAAAACATCAAATTAAACACCAGAGTCAGACTCAGTGCTGCCCCTGGTGGTTGGGGGGATTTAAACTTGAAGAACGTCCTCAGCCCCCCCCCCCAGGTTAACCTTTGACCTCTGAAACACGACACCATTTGCAGCCGTTCAACCTCTCATCTAAACTCAGAGCTGCAGCTTCCTAAGACCACAAACCGTCTACCCATAATGCCCTGCGTGACCTCCTTAGACCAGTCTGGACCACATCCTCTCCTGCCCTC